CACACGAGCAGAATGACTCACGCTCAATGACGTTCACTCATTTATACAGCACACGTGCAGCTGTACATATATATATTTTCTTCCATTTGTTTTATTGACTAGACTGAGCTCCAGTAGAAAATGAGCACAGAGGTCATGTGTGCAGCAGGCTATTATCACCCATAGCTACGTTTTGTTGCTAGGCGACATCTAGTGGCCGTAGAAACTATGACAGGAGCAAAGGCAAAAGTGTGGCGACGTAGTACAGGAGAGCGGTGTTCGATTCCCATGTGAAAGTTGGGGAGCTATTTCAGGAGACACTCATGGATTGTATCAGAGGGTTGGAAGAAAACGACCTGTGTGGTCTATGGAGTAAGGGGAAATAAGATAGGACAAGGTCTGTGGTTTTCTGTAGTTATGAAGGTGCATCATGGCTAGTACACAGACCCATAAATCTTGCTGTGTACATATGGCAGAATTGTATTTAGATTGGCTTCTGAACCATCATTGCATCTCATTGAAAAACTCCCATTGCATCACTACAGGAAATATCATCACAAGGGGTCGAGGTAAAATAATATTTTAGTTGCTTGAATGTTGCCTCAATCGTTTTTTCTTCCTGAAATGATATAAGGCTTTCTAATATGAAGCTGCCACCCACTATAAGTACAGTTAGTGCCATCAGTCTAAAGCCTGCAGACAGCTTCTGCAGGTTATTTCTGCCATATGACAGCCTATTATCTCTCTATGACAGGCCATTACCTGCACAGAGGAGCTGGGTAATGAAATAGGCAGGAGGACAGAGAGAAGACAGTGTGCTATCAACAAATCAAACAGATGCTCTTTACACTGAGCCGCCGGAATCGAACACTGAGACTCTGTGAGCAGACTCAGCTCAGTGTGCTGGGTTCACTAGTCAGGTTATTTTTTTTTACCCGTGTGATGTGTTCAGGGATGTGACAGAGGGAAAAACAACCTAAAGTCACCATTCTAGTTCAGGTAGGATTTCTTCAGCTTTAACCAATGTGCAAAATTAACTTTGCTTTTTTATTTTTTAGGGTAGTGTATTGTGACGTGTCATGTTTTAGCTTAATGTTACCTGCCTGGGGACTATGGATGTAAATTAGCATTTTTGCTACAATCCGGCATGTTCACATTGAGTATTTTATACTGATGTTCATTAACTTGCATTGTCCCCATCAAACAAAAACAAACAAACAAACCAATAAATAAACTTTGATTGATTAGATGGACATTTGGTCATTTTTAATCAGATTTTGTTGTAACAGCTCAACGTGATGGATTTCTGTTCTTCTCATAAACAACATTATGTCATTTTTAAGAACTTGCTACTTGTGAGCATCAGACACAGAGACTGCAGTTTGTCCTCAGCTCAGACCTTCAGAGCTAAAAAGCGTTTAATTGATTTATCAATTTGTAAAATGTCAGAAATTTGTTCTGCAAGTGTTTGTTTGTTGAGTCTGGTTCCAGCATCTTAAATGTGATGATTCATTATTTTGTCCCCATTCATTTTGCACATTGTACATAATTATATTATATTTATATTTCTCATTATAATTTTTTCACATTTTCATTGTAAATATTTAATTGTAATTTTTTCTATTCATATTTCAGCTATCTGTCTGCAGTACTTTGCTTTTTCCTTCTTTATTCTTTTTCCTTCTTACTAAAGAATGTGAAAACCTACTTGGCAATAAACCTGATTCTGATTCTAATTCATTGTAAACAGGCTTTTCCTAGGTTTTGGGCTGTTGGCTGGACAAAACAAGCAAACTTAAGGGATTTAGGGAATTGTGAAGGGAGTTTTCTGCTATTTTCTGATACTGTATAATTGAGAACTAATTGATTGAGAAATTAATTGTCAGATCAAGTGAGAATGAAAATAATCATTACTTGCAGCTGAGACTGTGTAATTTCCCAGAAAACATTTAGAACCTCTCATCAACTTATACTGAACTGTCCCCTTAAAAAATACGACCTCATGCTCAGTGATGTGCCTCCGTCCCGTCAAATGACGCTCAGTGAGGAGGACTATCTTTATACCTCATTGATTCACAATTCTCTCTCGCTCTCTCACCCCACTTCTTGTAATCAGCTGACTTCCGGTGTTTTCTGTAACCAATCAGATCTCGCCATGATCTCAACCGTCCAATCACGTTGTCACTGTCAAACTTTAAAGTCTGTTCTCCTCTCTCCTGCTGAGTTCACATCACATCCAGATCTCCAGCTTCTCTTCTCCCCACCACCGGTGTCTAGACCTGTACTGTGCTTCTCACAGCCTCAGCCCCTATCAAATATGATGACATCACATAGGGGTCTAATCGGCTGAGACTCTCACTTTTCCTCTCTTGTTTTGCACATGGCAATAAAATTTGTTCGTTGACTCAGAATGAAGTGTCTCCTGACTGAAGTAATGCTAGTCTGCAATCACTCAAAGTGAAGCTGTCGACGTGGACGACACAAGCACAAACGCTGAGCCTCAACGGGCGCAGCTTACACCTAAACAGAAATCAGTGTCCGTCATTTGGGCACATTTAGTGATGCAGTGAAATGCAAGCACTGCAGGAAAAACTAATTTCAGCGGCCAAAGGTAACACCAACTATTTGTTGAATCACTTGGAACAAGAGTGCATGGCTCAAAAAGCCAGAGAGAGATAAGCGCCAAAGTGATATTTGAAATAATTGTGATATTGATTTGGAGTCATATTGCCCTATACTGCTCATACGTCTCTGCTAATCAACCAGACTTCTCAATAGAAGACATGCAACACACGTTTTTGTTCTCACACAGCCTGAGAATCCAGATGCAGAGCTCAAATAAAGTGCATCAAACTTAATGTAAACGTGCCCTTGGTTTATCTCCCTGTTTGCAGAACAGATGGAGATTGAAGAAAAAAGCCTTCATAAATCAACATGTTGCAACTTTTACTCTGCAAAGAGCCAATAACAGGCTGGAGTAGAGGTTTGTATGTGCTCACCACAAAGCGCCTCCATTAAAAATCACCAGTCTTTTTTTTTTTATCTATCACTAAATCACTCACCCTGAAGTTGAGTTTTACCGTCATACAAACTATATCCCTTCAGTTTTAGCTCTATTATTTCAACACCAAGTTCTCAGCTAAACGATATAAAAATGTTTCGCATTCTGATCCGGGGCCAGAAATCTCTGAATGGCAGTAATCAGAAGCAGCGATCAGCAATCAGAGAAGCATTCTCTCCGAGTGTTTGTGCATTTAGGAGAGTGAGAGGACTGTTTTGTTGCTGCTGACGCCGCTGGTGGCTTGTCTTTCTTCATAATCTGGATGTCTCGAACACGGCGTAGCATTTAAAATAAATGACAGCTGATCGTTACCAGTGATGTGAAAAGAGATACCCACACATGTAACATGCAGCAACATAAACAATCTCTCAGATACACACAGGGACGTATCGGTTTGCTGCTACACTGGGTCGACACTGGCATATCATCCAGTCTGATCATCTGGCTCAGATCTGCAGGCTACAGATTGTCGATATGTTTTAGTCAGTGTTTATATATCAGAAGATTTTCAGAGTCTCATATTAGTTTAAATGCAACTTGAGAGGCTTTTTCATCCAGATAAAGGCGAGAATTTAAGAGCATGAACCCTGGAAAATACTGAAAATATAAAAGTAACAGTCATTTCACTTAATCACCCCCTGACAGTAAACACACACACACACACACACACACACACACACACACGAGCACTGCTGCTTATTAATTCTGTGCTGGCCACTGGATCAGTAGAAAATTGGACAACATCACCATCGTCTCTCCATCGTCTCTCTTTCTGTCAGCCAGTGCTCCCTCTTACTCTTCAGCTGTTTTGTCTCTCGCTCGTTTCAGTCTCCACTCAACTCCCACTCTCTCTCTCAGTGAGCATGCCCCTTTGATGCTAAGTGCAGTTTTCACCAGACGCTCCACTGGAATACATTGGTTTAACAATGGCCTTCCAGGTGAATCGAGCGCTTCTCAAAATAAGGTCTGGAGTCTCCCATTTTTTTTTTTTTTTTTTTTCAGCAGGGTTCCAGTAGGATCCCATCAATATGAAGAAGGTGAATTTCAATGTTTGAATGCTCAAATGATCCCATTTGGGAAACGGCTAACAATGACTTCTCCTGTGCAGCATACATAATGGTTAGGAGCAGCGTAACACAAAAGTAAGAAATAGGGGAGATAGACCCTTTAACCTGATGGTGCTGATGCTAAAGGTGCTAAAGCAGTAGCCACATGCTATTAAACTCTCTCCCTAAATCTGTGTAACAAAATCTGATGAAAGTGGGTTTGCAGGGATGTTTGTGCGGTTTTTCAGATTTCACATGTTTAACACTTATACTCAGGTGGAAAATATCTTACATTACAGTAGGCTACATTTAGTCAAGTAATATTGTTCAGATAGCCTATTCAATTTATCTTACATACAAAATATATGATCAGCAGATAAGATGTGATGCAGCACTGCTGGATTAACCAACCCAACACACTGCTGGGTAGACCAAGCAAAGCTGGAGCAGCATAAACCCCAGTGTGTGAGGATTAATACTTAAGAGTTGAACTTTTCTGTTGTAAAAGAATGTTTCTTTTTTCTGTTACACTGACTTGAAGCAAAAAGGAAAATGTCTCTATAATTCCAAATGACAGAATGCATGACTATTTTTCTCATGGGTTTCAAACACTTTCTAACTCACTTTTTAATAAAACATCCAAAAAAAAAACAAAAATCTTATCAAATGGGGGTCCATATGTTCCAATTTAGGGGTCTTTGAGAACCACTGCTCTAAATGATATATAAAAATGATCATATATTTTAGGTAGGCCTATAAGATCATGTCTTTCAGCTGAGAAAGTTTAAGAATTCGTCTAGAAATGCTGTGCGTGAGCACTGAACGCCACACTTTCCTCAAGCTCTCCGCACAGTGATGGGGAGCGACCAGGACACACAGTGAGAACACAGGTAACACAAGAGACGTCCGGTTACCTCTTCGAACAGCTCCAGGCTGTAGGTGTTGTCGTCATCCGCGAAAAAAACCACCCCGGTGTCCCGCTTGTTCCGGTGCTGCCGGAGCCACGCGAGAGCCACATTCCTCTGTTCGGTGGCGCGTGGCATCCCGGCGCGCTTGAACCTGCGGGGAGTGAACACATGCAGGTGTGTGTACGGCACGCCGCACCGGGCCAGGAAGCGCGCCACCAGCTCCGTGCGCGTCGTAGAGTCCTCCACTACGATCCAGTGGAACCGGGGCACCTGGCGGAAGGCGTGGGCCAGCCGGGTCAGCTCCGCTTTCTGCACCGGACGGGTGTAGGTCGGAGTGATGGCGTAGATAACCGGCAGGGCAGATTGGTTCTGGGTGATGCCGACCCCCGGTGCGCCGGTCCGGGGTGCGCGCTGAGTCCTGCCGGTCCGGCCGGCCGCCGGAGTCCGGATCGTCCTTTTACTGTCGATATCGATCATGATGATGACAATAAGGACCCAGGGCAGCAGGATGAAGAAGCGGCTGAAAAACACTGATTTCATGGCGAGGCTGAAGTTACCGTGCGCCCTCTCTTTCACTCACTCCATCACAAACAGAAAAGCCCCGACCGACCGAACGCAACTCCAAGAACCCGGTGATTTTAATCCTGTGGTTAATTCCTCAAAACCAAACAACAAAAACCAGCATCTCAAGTCTATTTCAAACTATGGGGCTAAATCACAAAACCTTCCGCTGCGTCCCCCGTCCCAACGGGACCGTTTCCCCGTAGTCCCCCTCCTCCTCCTCCTCCTTCTCTTCTCTCGGATGGGACTTGAGTGCTTCTTCGTCGTTTCTACCCTCCTCCGGCTCACTCTCTCGCAAGCCCCGTCACATTCCCATATCCAGCCGTCGTTTAGTGCGAGGACAAAAACAAGCCGGAGCTGCCCTCCTTGCAGCGGGCGGTGATAACCCACCGATGTGCGCCGCCCCGCCGAGGAGCATCACTTGGCGAGGACGGAGCGCTGCTCTGAGTCTGAGGATAATAAGGCAGGAGGGGAGGAGCAGGTGCAGAGCAGAGGAGGGGAGACTGGATAGAGAGGAGAGAACCTCGGGAGAGATAGACATACAGAGAGAGAGAGAGAGAGAGAGAGAGAGAGAGAGAGAGAGAGGAGAAAGCGAGAGAGAGTGAGAGAGAGAGGAGGAGAAAGGGAGAGCCTGGTTATGTTGTGTGCATCAGTGTCCTCTGAGAATAAACCCAGCTGATGGAGATACATAGAGACACAAAGAGAGAGAGAGAGAGAGAGAGAGAGACGGTAGCTTATGCTGCCAGTGTTGTTTGTCAAGAATAAATTATTTAAAAATAACTTGACATGAGAAGTAAGAGACACGGATGGTCCCAGAGTGCCAGTTGTACAATGACAATCAGGGTTTCCTATATGTCACCACCATAGGGAACCTTGGATGATCCCCTATGGTGGTAACACCAGACAACATTTAATTTCATTAGAACACAGACTGGTTGCAAACCTGCTTTTCACTCTGTTATCCCAAAATAAGGACAATAAACAACTCAAACATCGTTTAAAAATGTCTGGATAAATAGTTAAGAAACAGCTGTGGGATTTTCTGACACACACACACACACACACACACACACACACACACACACACACACACACACACACACAGACACACATACACAGGTCTAGGTTCTATATTAATACTGTGAAAGTATCAAAGCCTCAGTCCAATGCACACAGCCTGTATTCAGAAATTGAGCCTTAAAACCAGCCGTCAGGACTTCTGTAACTTTGTGATGTCACAACAAAGCAGTCATGATCAGCCATGCCCGAAGTCCACCATCCACCCTCAGAGAGGCTCAGAGCTTCCTCTCTTCTGATTGGCTCACTGACCTGTTTTTACTAGAGCTCCAGAGAGAAGCCTGAGAGAGGAGATGTAATGCTACATTACACAACGGTTAGTACCATCCAAGTAAATAGACTGGACAAGAGTCATTCCATGAGTGCTGACATAGAGGACAACAGCACTTCTTCTTTTAACTACATGTATCACTCCGCTTTACAGGTGTTCTACTAACATTGTAACAAACCTTGAAAAGATAAAAGTATCTCCAGAAATGACATTTGAATTAAATGATGTTTGGTTGTCAGAAGAAGATGAAAGGAAGAAGCCTGGATACTTCTGCCCATACCTGAGGTAACGTGTAGACAGAGTAGCAAGCTAATGTGCACTATGCAGGACAGGAATATGTTTATGTATTGCTTAGCAACAATCTGATACCAGTTTGTTTTTTGTTTTTTGTTTTTGTTGAGATGGTTTTTGGTTCTCACAAATACATTTTCCTATGGATCAACACATAGGGAAAGTGTTAAATATGGGACCTTTAACTAAAACTTAAGTGGCTCAAGTTTGTGTTTTGAAGACCTGTCAACCTAGGACACCGGAAGAGTTGGGATTTTGTTTCCATATTAAACCCACAGGGAGATCACGAAGATGTATAATCCCAGGATGAGACGACATATCAGCCCACCCAGACCCAACAGATGAAAACCAATGGGGATGAAAATGGACATTTTATCGCATGTAGCATGTCGTAGTGGAAAACAACTAACATAATGAGCATATCTGAATTGTTTTGCCATCTCTAATCCCATCTGTATGTAGGCCCAGAGAGCTCAACATACTGGAATTTAAGAGAACACATGTAAACAGATACAACAAACACAAACAAATTCAGAAAACATCATCATCAATTTGTTTTGTCTGTTTGCATGTATTGAGCTCTCCGGGCCACCGTACATCTGACAACTTCTACGACACTGACTCACAGGAGCGCGGAGTGCTCTTCCGCACACAACCGTAAACATGACGAAGCAAAAGAGAAATTGTGTTGTCGGTGCAGTGAGGTGGAACAGTGAGTCAGTCTCTGGCACTTCCTGTCTGATCACCTACATAGGTCACAAAACACGGCAAGCAACGATTGGTCAGGTTCTGACATCTTGTCTTCTGCTGTATGTAACCTGACACAATGGCCAATTTTGAAAGGCAAAAACATGTCGCTGTTAATGATATAGTCTCTCCTCTCCCATGTGCCATCATCACCTTGACTGTCCAAGGTCATATCTAAGCACAGCTGACTTTTCATGTGGTGGTTCATCTAAACAGAATTGGATCATACAGGGGTCACTGGTCTGTTGTGGAACCATTTAAGGGTCCTTGAAACACATAAGTGCAGGAGCTTCCTGGTTTACTGGTGCTCTCCACTTGAGCCGAGAAGCTAATCAATGATGGTTAATTATGCACACAACACGGATCAAGAGATCTGTTGGGAGGAAAGGGAAGAGAAATCACTGATCCGTGCTAATAGAGTTGGTTCAGACCAAACTAATAGCATGCAAACAAGCTCATAATTTCACAGGATGAAAGAACCTTTGATTGTTTGGATTAGGTAGCGGCCTGAGAGAGCTGATGTTTAACAGGGGGGGATGGGTACTTTGTAGCACCATGTTTGGCGCTTTGAGAGTTGTTGGGTTTTACATCGTCCTCAAACAAAATGACTTCTGGAGGCTTAATCAGCCTCATGCTCAGTGATATTGGGTGGAAACCAAGTAATGGGTTTACTCGACGATGAATCACTTTTAAGAGACTGACGTGATAGTGAAAAGGCTTTATTCCAATATTAAATTATCATGCTTTATCAACCTTGATTGCATGTTCTCCTTTCTGTTCATACACAATGAGCAATTTCAAAAAATTAAGATGAAGCATCAAGAAAAATTTAATTACAAATGAGATTGTTTTGACTAAGATGGCTTCGGATATTTTTAGTAACTTACGCAGTGGAAGGATTTATTTTATTTTATGTAGAATGGGGGTCTCCAACATGTGGCTCGCAAGCTACCAGTAGCTCACCCACAACTTCACTCAGTAAATCTACTCCAAATGCAACTAAATCAAATACACAGACATACCTGACACAACTGACAAACAGTGATTTGGTGTTGTAGAGGGTGCTCTTAAATACCAAATCACTGTTTGTCAGTTGTCAGTCAAATGAGTTACACTGTCAAGTTAATTTATGTCGGATATGCTGCATGCCAGTGGTCCCAACCACCGGGTACTGGGCCGCGGCATATTCGCTACCGGGCCATGCGGAAAGGACAACTTACTCATTTATTTATTTATTTTTTAATCAATAAAATACAACAATAGGCTATTATTATCATCATATAGGCTATTTGTGCAGCAATTACAGGCCTACTGAATTTGTGGCAGGAATCCGACCCCCTGGTCTTTTCCAAAAACCGAAAACAGAACAGGAATTTTTCAAGAAACAGGGAATATGTTGCCATGGATGAAACGAGTTAAACTGTGGGCTTCAACTTGAGCCCTGTTTTTTTTTTCAGTCCATGTTTGTTTAGCGAGTGTAGCAAATTAGCTATTTTATGCTCTTATGCTTATGCTTTTATGCTATGTTTGTTAATGTACCTTTGGATGTACTGACAATTATCATTGGGTTACTGACTAAGGAGTTCCTTTTTTCTCTGGTTCCTAATCAGATTTCACGCTTATTTGCAGTGGTGCTATAATGTCTGTGTGTTCAGGTTTGATTGAATCATGACTGAGATTTTAGTCTGATGTGAGTTTGAGGTATGTGAATAAATGCAATCAGTACTAAAAGCCACGAGGAGCTCTCAGCCCCTTTTATTTTGTCAAAGTAGCTCACAGAGTAAAAAAGGTTGGAGACCCCACATGTAAAACCTTGAAAACAAGAGAATTCATCTGAGGGGGCTTGTTCCAAAAAAAAAAATGTAAATCTAAGATTATCTTGTCTATGACCAGTGTTGCAACAAGATGTGTTTCTTTTTTAAATTTGCCTGGATGCAGCAGCTTGAGAGTGAGACAGTCTCAGCCGTAACATTCGAGTCACTGGAATCGATCAACAACTCATAAAATCATACGTACTGCTCCTTTAAATCCTGCTGTCAAAGTTTGCAGTCATCGTGTCTCCTTTCCCTGATCCATCAATCTTTGTAAAAATCTTTCCCCCGCTCCTCTTCGTGTCACGCTGTCACACCCTTCAATCACCTGTCAAACTGCTTTTCCAGTCACCTGTCTCCACATTATTATTCATGTTTTATTCATAGGTGGTGTGTGTGCACATATGAGCACTGTGGGGCCAAAAATAGACGTTTACATACACACCACTGTAACTTCCTGCTGCAGATAGCTACAGTATGTTCTGACCACCCCTTCCATGCAAAGCGCCAACGTCATGATAATTTACAAAAGCTTTGTCAGATGACACAGGTAAATGTGAATGTCAATGGCTGAACTGCTCTGGAGACAGAGTCAAATCTCATGGTCGGATCAAATTATCAAAAAAAAAAAATTAAAAAATGAAAACTATACATGAGCCCAATGAAAAGCAAAGGATAAAAGAGCCAGCTGATTTAATGAAGATGCACTTCCTTGCTACTTACTCAATGAAATGAAACCGAGTCATACCCATACTTTCTTTTAGCTAGTTAGCTTCCAAATCTAAGCTATCCTAGCTGATAGCTGGTAATTTGCAAGCTAGCTGACCATCCAAGATCAATTATGTTTGTGGATGAATGAAAAAGAAGTTACTACTTTTAAATATGCATTTATTGTTTTTTTGTTTTTTTTTTGCATAACACTGTAACAGCTAACGTGTTGGCAAACAGATGCTAATTACAGTATTCACTCTCCTTTAAGCTTTGTGTAAGTTTTTATTGCCTCCCGAGAAAATTATAGAATAGAATACAAGTTTATTGTCTTTGGATCACCAAAAACATAACACAACAACATGCAACAATTAAACCCCTATAGAAATGTAATATGATATAGGCCATATGTCCCGCTATATGGTTATGGTTAGGCTATATGGTCCTGCTCTCTGCTTTGTGGCTATTAAAAACATCACCAGTAAACAAACTGGTCCCAGTAAAGTCAACCTGGATGATGTGTCTGCCAACAAAATGACCTTTGACACAGACTTGAGTCAGATGCTTGTCACCACAGTGACAGTGATCCTGAAGGCTTCGCTATTAT